CTTTGGACGGTACCCATGGAGAGGCTAATTCCTCTATTGTTTTTAAAATTTCCAACCTCCTATCTTTTGTCTGCCACGTGTTCCACTCTATTTTTTCTTCACCCTTTTAAAAGTGCGCATTACTCCCCATACATATTTGAGACTTACGAATCTATTTATGCTATGACAGAAATCTTTAAAAGATTCCCTTTTCTTTTGCCTAACTATTTTTCTCATAACCGCTCTAAGTCTTTTATATTCTATAAAATCACTATTTAGTTGAGTTTGCTTCCATTTTAATATAATTGACATTTTCTTTTTTTTAGAATTTCTTTGCATTCTGTGTCCCACATCTAACGGGCTGTCCCTTTTTATCAGTATCATTACTACCTGTGATATTACTATTCACCTTTTCTTTTGTTTTTTTCCTATTGGATGATTTGCCAAGCCCCGCAACTAATATTTCCATAAATTTATCGTATTTCGCCTGCAAGTTCCCTATCTATTTCCAAAAAGAGTTCTTTGTTATCCAGCACTTCTTTTGCTTTCTTACTATATGCTTCCCAATTTGTTTTTTTTTTCGTACTTATTCTATTAGATTTTTTCTTATAACTAGAGCTACTTACTTCTAATTTTAAATCAATTGGATAATAATCCGAGTCCCAAATATCCTATCTTTGTTTATAATTTATAATGTCTAACATTTTGTTATTCGCAAAAATTAAATCTAAATTAGACGCTCTTTGATATATATAATTTTGTCTAGACATTGTGTTCACATTTATACATATGAAGCCTTTGTTATGCATACTTTCTAATATATTTTCTCTATTGTTGTCAATATCCACACAAATCCATGCCGTATGATATATGCGCATTGAAATTGCCCAAAATTATCGTTTCCTTCATTGAACAATTAAAATCAAATAAATCATACCACCACTCCTTGCGTTTAATTCCATTGGGCTTTCTATAAACCGCGACTAAATTAAACACGATTGCAATTACGTATGCAAATCCCCAATGTTTTAATGTTAGGCGATCTCGTATGCCGGTTCCTAATAATATCAAAATCTATATTGTCCCTTATAATTATCGCAATCTCTCCGCTACTATTTAAGATCTCAGTTTTATACGTCTTATAGCCTGAAAAATATAAATTTTTTTATTGACCTAATTTAGTCTCCGTTACTACTGCAATATTGTACTGTTGTAAATGTAATTCAAATTCGATTTTTTTGTTTGTAATCCCTCTAGCATTCCATAATAATATATCCATTCTAGTTTTGAAATATTTTGCTACCGTAAATTAAAAATAGTTTTAGGTTTCAGCTTCCTGATCTCTTGAATTTCTTTCTTGCCAGTACCTTTGTTTTACCCCGTTCGCAATTTCCTTCGCCCTCCTGGCCCTAACTCTTCAATAATTTTCCTTTGTTCCCGTATCTATACTTATATTGGAGTTTTTTCCGTCTACCTCTTCTTCCTCTGACGAAACGACTTCTTTCTGAAGCAGAGAACTAATCAGTTGTTTAAGCCCTAATGACTCTCTTATCAACGCTTTTTCTTTTAACAAATGGTGTCTAAGCTGATTAATCATCTTCTCCTCTTGCTCTGAATCATTTATCGAATTAGAGAAAGCTTGTTCTATGGTTTCTACTCTCCTATATTTACCGGCGACCTATAATCAGCATGAACCATGGTTCTACGTTATCATAGAGTAAGTTTTACCTGCGTGTGTCTGGATGTATCCGTTTCTTTTGTGGCGATATTACTATTGTATTCCTTATTGTTGTTATTGTCGTTTTTGGCAACCTTGGCAAATGATGATGTTTTCCTAACAGCACCATCCACTCTAGGCCAAGCCGATGGATTTTGAAACCTGTCATATTGATGCTGACGAATATTATTATCAGTGCCAAACAAAATGCGCTCTGCCTCATAAAAAGTAACACTATTATAAGCCATAATTATTTTAATTTCCTTATTATTATTAAAAATGGGGCAATTCTTTGCCACAGAGATATGATCCCCGTCGCAGTTTCTACATCTTGGGTTCTTTACAAACTCGCCGTGAAATTTATCTCCGCAACGCCTGCAAAGTTGATCGCTCCTACATATAGCCTTTATATGGCCGAATCTAAAACAATTATAACATTGCTTTATAGGTTCAACAAATGGCCTTACCTTTAATTTGTATTTGATATGACTAAATATCGTAATGTGGTCACGTATTTTATCCCCCTTCATAGTAATAATCAAACTATTAATTTTCTTTTCCTCGAGCTTTTTTGCATTTCTGTCCCAGATCTTCCTGTACATTTTCTCGATTTTTAGAGTACCGGATTTGTTTTGAATTTCTTCCCATAATTCTTGAATACTATATGGCCAGTCCGATATAACACCCTTACACGTAAGTGTCTTTTTTTCTATCCGTGTCTCTACTATTTTACTCTTCTCCGCAATTTCTAAGAATTTATTCGCCTCGTTATAACAATCGAACGTGATATTAGCCTGATTAAATCTCGTCGTTTGAATATCTTTTTGGTATGTAAGATTCGCGAGAATTGTTACTGTATAAAACACAATTTTATTCAATACGGTCATACAGTAATTTTCACAATGCTTAGTACTCGCGTGTTAACAGATGTATAGGTTTATAATTGACTCGACAAACTGCCGCTGCAGTCGGAGGGTCCTCTATTTATACTCAAAATTTTTAGGGCGTATCATCGCATTATCATATCTGAAAGGGACTTTGGTCTTTCCTTTAGTTTCAAAAAACATATCTTAAAATATCCTAAAACGCCCATAGATATCGCTATCGAATAAAGGAAATATTTCTAATGCTTATCCTAAAAGAACGGAAACACCCATTTTATTATCAAGTGGAAGGACAATGGTTACAGGTAATTACAACTATCGCTCTTATTAACCCACGTAAGTATCTTTAAAAAGTTCTTCTTTTTGTTGGATGTAACCGCAGCCCTATTCAACCTAACTACGATCCTGCAGTTACCTACGTGTTATCGCCTATACCTATTTCTGTCGCTTCCCAACACTGAGTCGGCGCTCTCTCTATTTATAAATTTGCTATAAGTCTACCGCCAATATTAAAAAACGCACGGTTTTTTGCCCTAATTATTTGCCGCACATTTTCACTTTTTTCCTTTCCCTTGTCATTACACTCCTCTACTTGTACAGCCGTTACATTTTCAATTTGTGCCTGTCCTGTCTCCTTGAATTGACTTGTCTTTGTTACGTCCGCACCAGTTAGTCCTTTGTCCGCCACTATGGTCGAGACCATCTTTTTCAGTTTCCTTGTGAAATGCTCTTAGCCGTTCCCTCTTGTCTTCTTTTCTCGTGTGCTATATCCTCCGTTTTTAGTTTTTTAATGGTTTTCTCGCCCATATTTTTTTGTACCCCATTATCCTCCACTAAGTGATCATCTTCCATTCCATCGCTTTCTAAACTATCACCCTCTACCTCCATATCTTCGATTTTTCTTTTAAGTTCTTCATCTTCTATGTTCGCTAACGACCTCATTTCAAACGATTGTTGATTGTACATAGCCTTCACCATGTCCTCTTATATCTATTTCGTTATCCATGCTTTCATCTTCATCGTCTTCTATTCTCTCACCGGACAATTCGTTCCCCCCTCCGAATGGAGGGACTTAAAAAAAAATCAATAGTGGATAAGCCCACTAATTGGTATCCCTTCCTTCTACCCTCCTTATACTCCTCACCGATCAATTCTACCGCGTATAAATCGCACTCTAATAATTCGCTTACGCGTTCACTCTCTCTGTCACGTCCGTACGCCACCGTGGTCGGCACGCCTTATGGAATAATTAAGCGTTTTAAGAGGTTATGTGAAAACACACGTTACAGGTAGATATATAGATGTAATTGCTAATATAAATTGTCTGCACATATGTATGTACGTTCCTATCGTCTTACATTTCATTGGATCCAACCCAAAACAAAAGTTGCGTGCAGTTACTTCCGTCCGCTTATTCAGAACCATATACTCCCTCCAGTTCTTCCTGTTTCTTTTTACCATCGACGAGATACTTTTAAAGACCGACAACCTTACGGAAGTTAGCATGGCTGTTTAGTAATTGTTAAAATTCAAGCAATTAGTCAATAATATAATATTAATTTAATGATTTATTATTAGATCAATGTTTTTTAGTACATGTACATTGTAATTCATCTGTATTATATCTAATTGCTAATAGTTAATTTTATTTAAAATTGCATTTTTATAATTACCATACATTTGATTATCCAGAGAGATGGTAAAACAGTTGGAAAAAATGTAATTTTGCGGCAATTATTCAATATTTTATAGCATTAAAAGTATTCATACTTATTTATAAAGCATTATATATAATAAAAATCATGATCTTAATAATGTATTATTCAAATAAATTGGAAATTTATGTCAAAAGTCTATAACATCGACACTCTGCAATTACCTCTGGGCCCGCCGCGGCCGGGCCCTTTGGCTGGCACGAAAATTTGTCCAGAGCTGACGGTCTTTAACAGTATATCTCATCGGTGTTTTTACTCAATGCGGTGTAAACTGGTCGGTAAAACCAAGGTATAGAGGAGCCAGCTAAGAATGCGTGAGCACATAAAAAGAGACAGAAAACGAGTCGCCCATCTGCATCCTTGTTCAATTGCGCATGCGAGAAAAAGATAAAAGATGGATGTACCCTTCGCTCTTCCATTTTCTTTCTCTTTCTATCAGCTCACGGTTCCAGTCAAAGGCGCCGCCAGGTCTCCCCTACTCTATGTATATAAACTCTTTGGGTAAAACAAATGACTTTAGGATCTTCTTGGAGCCGATAGAATAGTTGGTGATTGTACCGATTGAATCTCAGTATCTTCTCCCTATTGATAGATGTCGCGACGATACGCGTTATTTATCGAAATTACCGACTGTGCGCGCGTGCGTGCGCTTGAATAAGGGTGGCGGCGTAACATGTAGTATATGTATATGTATGCAACATGTAGTCAGTCAACGCGTGCATCTCGAGTGTTATTACGACCGATCACGGTGCTCCATCGCCATGTTGGCTTAACCCAGGCGGCAGGCGCTTGACGTCAGCGGGCGCGTTAGCGGTGTGTGCAATCGTGCGAACAACAAGGACCGAAGACGGACGGACGGAGAGAGACAACGCGCTCGAGTGCGCAAACTCGAAAGAAAGAAAGAGAGAGAGAGAGAGAGAGAGAGAAGAAAGGCGTGCGCGATCGGCGACCGACGGTGCACGACGGTGTACGGCGGTGCAGTTGTCGACGGACGTGAAAGACGCAGGATTGTGGTATGTTGGCTCGCCTCGGCTCCGAATTCTCCCGCATCCGTATGACGATATACTTAATATCAGTGTGATTCAGTGGCGCTAGGCGCTTCGCGTCTTCTCTACTGGTAGAGGCGAGTGTGAGAAGAGAGAAAGAGAAGAGAAAAGAGGGAGAAAGAGAGAGTGAGAGAGAGAGAACGCGCTATATCGAACTCGGCGCACCCTTCGCGTTGCGTCGCGTGCGAGAAAAAAAGTCGAGAGAGAGAAAGAGAGATAGCGAGAGAACGAAACGCGATGGAGGTGCGACGCTGTCCGGTTTGACCGCTAGACGGCCTCCTCCAGCGTATCCTCGCACTCGGCACTCCACGGCTCGCGACAGGCTCCTCCGGTTATTCAGTGCGTTCCGCGCGCGCCATGTGCCGCACCGTCGCCGCTCCGCGTGCATCTCCACTCAGCGAAAGATCATCGTCGCGCGTATCGCCGCGGTTCGATAAGCGCTCCTCTGCGTAGCCGTGCGTTGTCGGCTCGGCCAGGACCCTCCCCTCTCTCCTCCACCTCCTCCCAAGCTATGCGCTGCGCTCGTCAGTGCTCCTCGATGCTGCTCCGCGTGTCCCCGTAGTGCTGGTGCGACGAGTGAATCGTGAACTTCTGGCATCGTCGTTCACGCTCTTTCCTTTCTCCGCCCTTGTATTTTCGTTCGGCTCGCGAGCGGCGAGCCGTGGGCGAAGGTAGTGCGAGGAAAGAAGGGAAGAGAAAGAGGGAAGAAGAAAGAGAAAGGAGGTGTAGTCTCGAAGGAGAGAAAAGACGGCAAGTGCGACAAGTCACGAGAGTGCTAGACGAGCGGAATCGACTCGAACGGGGTTCTCGGAGTAATCGGTGAGCTCCAGCGAGCGAGCGAGCGAGCGAGCGAGAGAAAGAGAGAGAGAGAGAGAGAGAGTGAGAGCAAGAGACACACAAAACGGGAGGGAGCGCGAGTGGCGAGTATCAAGATGGCGCATAATTTGGCACCGAGCGTCAACTGCTCGCTCGACGACATTGACCTGAACGCCCTGAAGGTACGTATAGATATGAGAATTATTTCGTCGCGCGTCGTTTCCTTCGTCCGCGCTTCTCCTCTCATTCGCGTGAGGCGAGGAGTGTCGCGTCACCGACGATACCCGCGCGTCGTCCGCTCCGCTCGCGGCGGCCGTTTTCCGGACCCGCCTGGTGTCACGCGCGTGTCTCGTCGTACCATTGGTGATTAACCTCGCGAGAACCGCGACGACGATGAGAGGAGGAGGAGGAGAGGAAATACCGAGTTCGCCTTGAGTTCTTCCTTCTCCGCTCCCTTTCGTCCGCTCGTTCGATCGTTGCGACTTTCCGAGATGATGCGTAACGTTAGAGAAAACTCGTCTGATGCACTCGTCTCTCGCATGCAACACCCGTTGACAGTCCCGGTGTTGGCGGAGTCGTTCATTTGAACTGAATCGGACCGATCTATCCAATTCCGCAACCCAGCAAACACAGATTATAACTGCAATGTTGCAGTAACATTGTAACATTCTAGCTGTATTGCAGAAATATTACAATGTTGCTGCAATATTGTAGTTATAATCTGTGTTTGCTGTACGTCGACGTACCGTGAAACGCGCGATCGACGATTCTCTCTCCCTCCCGCGTGGACTCTTTCGTCGCGCGTTACAAGAAGAATCGAAGTCTCGCCGTGCGAAACCGCGGCACGCGTCCAAAACGTTATCCGGCAATCGTGTTTCCACTCTCCGGCAACGCTGTTGACAGTCCGACAGACGTCACGCGAGATTGGAGACCTCACCGCGAGCGTAGACTTTTTTTTTTTACGTCTATATCCCCCTGTATTCACCGTTTTGAAAAAAAGTCCGAGTACGCGGGAGATAATCGATCCCCCGAATATGTCCATTGTTATCATTAGGAATGCAGAGGGAAAACTGGAACGGATGGCGAATTAAAGAAAGCCGAAGCGCAATTCGAAAGAGGAAAGAAAGATCAGACGGATGTTTGCGCTGAAAATGCATCAGTTACGGTTTTACGTGTAAACATCGAAATACCTTCGTTCGTCTACCGCTCGCGATCGCCGCGCTCTGTTTCTTGTATTTTTCTACAACTGTGCGATCTAGCGTCGCGATTCAGCCTTTAAGATGGCTGACCGTCATATTTTGCTGTCGGATTTTTGTCGCCGGGTCGCACGGTGTGGTCTTGTTTCACGTCAAATTTTTTTGTAAGAAACACGAGTATCTCATATTTCTGTCTGGGCGTTTTTAACACTTTTACTTGAGGCAAATCGAATTGTATTCAATCGTCAAAAGATAAACCGCGTGGTCCACGTGATAATAGGTTTGTTATCTTAACAGGTTTGCAGCCGCTTTTTCTTTTTATCTTTTTTTTTCTTTTTAATTGTTTTCAATTATGTACTTGTTTCATTTCAAGCGCAGACAGAATAGCAGAGCGGTTAACAAAAAAATCAATCTAATATAATCGGAAGCTCGTACCGTTTTCTATTTATATGTATTTAATATCGATCCGTGGTTACTCTCGTTCGAGGCAAAAGCGTCAAAATGTGTGCTTTATTTTCTTCAATTCGCCAAATAATCTTTTAAATTATCTCTTTTCCTCCTTACTCCGATTTTATTTTATTTTTATGCGTTCTAGCTCTTTTCCTCGGAGAGTTCAGGAAATTTTCAATCGCTCTCTCGCGGACATTATTTTAATTAGAGAAATTGACGTCACGACATTCACAAACCGACATTGTTCCTCTTTAATGACCAAAGGGATCGTTTTCGTCGGGAGGATTAATCGGTCGTTTGTGTTTCAGGAGCCTGCTGGGATCTTCGAGCTGATAGAAGTGGTCGGCAATGGAACGTATGGCCAAGTTTACAAAGTGAGTACTCAAACTGCAATTTGCATCAAGTTTCGTTGTGATTTCTGTGCGAACAGTTCTGTGTGTGCGATATTTTCAATATTATTTCTCATATATTCTCATGTACTCATTATCGTATAATGTAAAATGATTCCTTCCTTTTTATTACGTATATAACGTAACTAACATTTACTGGCCTGACTGGCTAGATGCGCGATTCGTCAATTATCGATTTCACAGTGGCGTGACGACCTTTTCTGTGATATTTTAAATTAACGAGTACGCGTCAAAACGACGGAAAATAAAGAAAATGTCCACGACACGTGCGAAAAAGTTTACTGCGTAACTGACGTTTCCTGCGCACGTTTAAAAGTTATTTTTGATATAACGTTAAAATTCGTCGAATAGGTTTGACGTTTTTTCTGAATAATACATATTTAATAATAACGTACACTTGCTTGTTTAACGATAACAATGTCGAGAATAATCGCTTTCAATAAACTTTCTAAAATCTCTCGAAGTTATCGAAAACGTCTAGAGCAAACAAATGAAAAACTACAGCGATTAGAGTTGCATGATAATTTCTTACAAACGTTTCTTATTAAGAATGTTTGGGCTGCATCGAAGAAGAATATATCAACTAAAAAAATGAAAAAGCGTTATGGAAAAATTGATCACAAATTTTATACGTATAACATTTGCTTGTTTAATGATAACAATGTCAAGAATAATCGCTCTCAATAAACTTTTTAAAATTCCTCGCTGTTATCGAAAACGTCTAGAGCAAACAAATAAAAAACTACAGCAATTAAAGTTGCATGATAATTTCTTACAAAGCTTCTTATTAAGAATGTTTAGGCTGTATCTCGAAAAAGAATATCAACTTAAAAAATGAAAAAATATTACGAAAAAATTAATCAAAAATTTTATTCGTACATTTGCTTGTTTAATGATGATAATTTCGAGAATAATCGCTCTCAATAAACTTTCTAAAATCTCTCGAAGTTATTGAAAACGTCTAGAGCAAACAAATGAAAAACTACAGCGATTAGAGTTGCATGATAATTTCTTACAAACGTTTCTTATTAAGAACATTTGGACTGCATCTCAAAGAAGAATATCAATTTAAAAAATGAAAAAACGTTATAAAAAAATTGATTAAAAATTTTATGAAAAATTTTGATCCTGAATTTGATCGTGAATTCTCTGAAGCCAACTGCAAAACAATGAATAATTTGGCTTATAATAGCTCATGCAGCGCAACGACTATATTTTGCTGAAATTTTAGGTAAATAACTTTTAAACGCGAGTAAGTGAATCCAAATGAATGTTTGCACGAATATTTGGAGTTTTATTATATGTAAAAAATTTGATTTAATTTGTAATGTTACTTTCTTATCAAATTTGCAAATAAGCACAAAACATGCAGGTTTTATATAAGAACCAGTGCAAACAATCAAATAGTTTTTAACTAGACAACACAGACGCGCATTTTGCGCGCGCCATTTGGCTTTTTATCTCTTTTTTTTTTACTACTTATTGTACTTGCTTAATTACTCGCTTAAATGCATCCAATTAATATTACAATGTTACTATTATACTGGTAACTAATTGATAGATACTGTTAAAATATGCGATGACAGTCGCTCAAAAAGTAAGCGCAGCGACAGAGCTAATCGGCATTGTGGAAAGAGGCAATTTATTCGAATATCGATTTAATGTATCTTTTAAATGTGGATTTAATATACCTTTTAGATATTGATAGTAGAATTGTGCTCAAATTTTATTCAGACATAATAATGGAACAATCAATGGAATTTTTATATTTTTAGTACGGCTTTGAAATGTAACATACCTACATATGTATGTTCTCAATACAGAATCGGGTAAAATAATTGTATTCGTAAGCGATGCTTGGTCGCAATACTTTTTATCGTTGCGTCACCTCAATAGATAGATAACTTTATTGATCCTCTCTTTATTTTGTTTATTTATAACTCATGGTGTTACAAGAACTTCCGTTTACATAAATGTCGCAATACAAAATGAAACGAGGTATATGTATCAATCGTATTATACAGATTGTACAGAATGTCGTCTCTCGATAGATGCTGCTTTAATATTCCATCAGAACTGTATTTCACGTGTAGGTCTTGCGTCTAATTTTCGTGTGCACTTCAGTTATCGTGCTTCCCGTTAGTAATCCATAACTCTTATCTGTCAGGACTTATCCTATATATATTCGCACCACAACGTCTACGTTTCCCGTTTAGGCTCGCGTTATCGCGAGTCTCATATCCGACCTCCCTCCCCCCC